AAAGTTGGCCCGTTCCTGGTTTCAGCGTGACTACGTCGCGCAGCTACATAATTCGAACTAGTGATCCGGCCCGGTAGGTATCACTCGGATCACCCGCGGGTGGCGTTGAATTATGACCACCCGGATGGTCAACCCGCGTGTAAACCCACGGATTGTGTCCTAAGTGACAGATATTCATTGTTTTTTTTCTCAAATCACGCTTACAGACCAATTAAGTATGTAGGCATTATAACATATAAGAATAGAAAGAGTAGAGTTCAATTTTATTTTAGAATGTGAATTAAACATAGAAGTGTTTTGCAGAATAGAACCGAAACAATAAAGCTGTAGTTTTGAGGTACTGTTTAGAGTTACGGCTAAAGCAATAGAGATTAAACCGTGATGCATATCCAAAGACTATTAGAAATTCATGTTCTAGTATGACTTTTGAATCAATATCCGCATCACAATACGGCTCAAACTATGACATCCAAGTAGATAATAACTCTAATTAAGCTATCCAACTTCATAAATATTACTACATATTTATATTTAACACATGAGTATAAAGAGTATAGTATACGGTGTATATTTGTATTAATCTTAGTTAATCAAAGATATCAGACCCATGAATATTTATATGCTTCTTAATTCATTTTATTTGCATTAATTTAGTACATGAGCATAAAGAACATTTATAGATCCAAGCTTTCAGAATAAATTATTCAAGCTTATGAATAGTTACTGTTAGTTTATTTTAATTTAGTGCATGAATATAAAGAATATTAATCCAAAGACTCAAGTTTTAGATTGTGAATACAATGAGAAATTTATACGCATGAATTTAGTGTATTAATATAATATTCTAATCATTTATAGTAAGATATCCAAGTTCATGAATATTTACCATGTTATTTCATTCTACTTGCATTAATTTAATAAATAAGCATAAAGTACATTTATTAATTTAAGTATTCACATTCATGAATATTTACTATTTAATTTTATCATTCACATTAATTTAGCGTTAATCTAAATATTTAAATAAGCTACTCAACCTCATGAACGTTTATTATTTATTCAAGTAAATTAGTTGTTGAGTACAAAAGTACAAAAATTCTTTTAAGTGTCATAAATAAACATCTAATTTAACTAATGATTACGTGTATAAATCCCGTTGCAAGATTTTTTTTACGTACCACCCGGGTGACCCAGCGTATACTTTATTTCTGCAAGTGATACAAATCCAAAAAAGGAAATTTTTATATGTAGATCGCAAGATCAGGTGTAACGTGAAAACGAAGGCTTTTTCAAAACATCGCCGGTAACTCAAAATTTTGCCTAAGAAATCACCTTTTACGCTCTAATAAAAAAAATTCCTGGCCAAATTTTACTATACTATAACATAAACGCCAAACAATTTCTCGTAAGCATTAATGCAAGCTTCTATTTTTTGTTTCCTAAAATTATAATATTAAATCGATAAAAAAATAGAACGAATCGCACTAGAACTACATTAAAACTAATTGTAACATACCATAAATATAATACAGCACACATATTTCTAACTCTTAAATAATTCAAGCGCCAAGTTACTATTTAATTTTTATTTTGATTGCAAATATAGAGTGAAGTATATTAATCTAAATTTTAAAATTCATGTATTTAAATTCATAAATATTTATATTAATTTATTTTACAACTTAAAAAAAGTTAACAATATAAAGACTTTTAAGGTTACTAATTTATTTATCCATAAAACCATTCTGATATAAACAATACATATGATGTTACGATTTGCCTATCAAAGTATTGCTACGTATTTACAACATATAGATTCCATCATCATTAAGCATAGAACTATTCCTATTGTTATAAGAGAATTGTTGACAGAGTTTGAATTACATCCCGAACTTTGAGAACAACTATCTCCGCTCATACATTTCAAGATAAAATCACATTTAGTAGCATTTTTTGCTATTGCTTCTAACGAATATAACAATTTTAACATTGCTACTGTTTCGTCTTTTGATGCTGTTGTATTTGTATTAAAATCAGATAAAGTTTTTACCTGATCACATAGTATACATGAATCATTTTTTTGTACACCCGCCCTTACTAAACTCATTCCAAAATTGTTTACACATTCTATCAATTTCTCAGTTGTTTCATCTATCTGATTAGCTTCTTTATCATTATAATTGTTTTCTTTTGCCAATTTTAATACTCCAACTTTCTCTTTAATGATATATTGAACAATTTTTACAACAACTACTTGTGGTACCTTTGTTGGTGGTGTCAATCCCATTTTACAAAATCCATCTTGATCACAATATTCGTATTCTGCACAACAATTACCATTACCACAACATTGATAACCATCTGCGCAACACCTAGATTTGCAACAAAACGAGGTCGACTTACAACAATAAATTCCACAACACTCGTTACCTAATTTACAACAACCGGCCTTATTTTCGCAACAAAAGGAGTCCGGCGAACAACAATAAATTCCACAACAAGTGTCACCTTGTTGGCAGCAACTAGTACTACTGCAAATTGGACCGCATTGCCTGGAACAACATAAACTGGTCCCTGCAG